ACTGATAGTTTGTTAAAGTGTAATTAGTTGCTCTTCTTTATGAGTAAAACATTTGTATGTTAAAATCATGGCATCTTATATTCTTCATAAGTATGCCTTTACAGAACATTTGCGAAGGTATAAGCGATTCCTTATTCCTCATAGCACTCTCATCTGGAGGTGTGGGAGGGGAAAATAGCAATGGCTAGAAAATAACTTCTGGGTCTAGTTGTTTGTTTTGTGTTCACGCACTTTTAAACATTACTGTGGGCAAATGAACATATGAAAGTTTATTTAAATCTTTATGGGACAATACAACCACATGGATCAAATGATAAATATAGGTTTTGCACATTCCTAAGGTTAAAGTTAGTTCCTCAAGAAGCATATGAACTTATATACAAAGATATTTATGAGCATTGCCTGGCACTGAAAAATACAAACAGAAATAGTCTATATATCCATAAGCAACACAATGACTAAATATACTGAAGCTAATTAATAGATGGATATTGTACATACACTAAAGTGAATGAGGTATAACTATATAAAAATTTAGAGACCTATCCCTCAAATAAATGAAGTTCAAAATAAACAACAGTATAGTTACATATGTTTGCATATAAAAACAATTTTGGGAAAGAGATTTGCTAAGCATGCATAATGCTGAAAGGGTGTGGGTCAAATGATGGAGAACTTCTACATGTGTTGCGTTTTCATATTATTTTCAAGATTTACAAAGATAATTGGTAATAAGATATTTAAAATCGTATCTATGTTCACTATAAATTTACAGCAAAAGAAAACAAAAGTAATGATTTGCTACTCAATTCCTCTAAATCTCTTCAAAGAAGAAAATAATATACTTAATCAGTTCAGAAGCTGCAGTGTTAGGGGGCCAGGAGAGCTATGTAAAATGGAATAAGTGCCATAGTAATGATTCAGAGTGATTGCAAGAATCCAAGTTTACTGAATAAATTTCAGATAAAATTTGCAAAAAAAAAATGTTTACTTCAAAAATAGACTTTGTTGCACCACTTCACACTCCAGCAGTCACAAAATTATGGCAGTTCCTGAGAGAAAAGAAAGAGATGGAGAAAATAACAGGGGGAATCCTGACTTCTTGAGGTCAAATCCTCTAAAAGGAAGCCTCTCAACTCACCATTAAGAGCAGGATCAGGATGCAATGCATTAGATTATTAAGCTTTCTTTAGAAAATGAACAAAACTCAGGTTACTGTCTTTTTTTAATATAAATTACTGCAATCAAAGTAGATATCCAAAAATAATTAATGTAATTATTTCAAAATCTGTACTTCTTAAATTTTTGTTTACTTGAGAATCAGAAAGAGACACAAAGAGCTTCCATCTGCTGGTTTACATAACAAATGCCCACAATGGCCTGATATCAATCAGGCTTTAGTCAGAAACCAGAAACCAATCCAGGTCTCCATACTGATGGCAAAAACTCAACTCCTTGAGCTAGCACCTGCTGCCCCTGAGGGTGCACGGTAGCAGGAAGCTGGAGTCAATCCAAACACTCCAGTGTATTTTCTTTCATTCTAGGTTTCATAGTTTGGATTTTAAATAGGTAAGTACCTATCAGTATCCAAAGTAATCTTGTCAACCGAAGCCAATTATTTCCCCATTAGATGCAAAGATTTCAGTTTCTTCAGTTTTGATGATTCATCACAATGATAGAAGAAAATCAAGAGCTTAAAAAAATCCTGTAGTTAAAGTCGGCTTCATTACTTTGCATTCTACTCTGGTTTACGCTGCGGTACCCCCACGGATATAGTTTTACTGCTTAGAACTGAATGAGCTTAACAGACACGAATTAGTTTACATACCTACACAGTTTACATCCTGGAATGCAACTGCCTTCTGAAGATTGATAATTTTTTTTTTCATTATCTAAGTATCTAAAATTATTTATATATGTGTAGGATAATATCTTAGTGATGGAAGTCAAATGTTAATCCACTAGCAAAATATTCTCCTTTCTAATGTTAGGGCCTCACTATTGATCTGGGTCAAAACTGTGTTGTTTCAATGATCAACATAAGCAATGCCTGAAACCTGAGAAGATAAAATGAGTCAAAAAGGTGCCATTTAGTTAGTGATTGACAGACACCGAATAGGAGCAGGTATCTGATCTCAGGCTGTCAGAAGCAGTATTCCTGGCAACCTCTAGTTCCCAAGCCACAGGGTTTGCCAGATACCTTGGATAATTTGAGTGGTAAACTTTCTCAAATGGCATCTGTGTTCTCAGTCATTTGACCCCAAACACAACCCTCCTCCCATCCTCCTAGCTTCTGAGTAGGTCCTCAGCAGACATTGTTCAATAACCAGAAAGTCGAAAGGAGAGTGTGTAAACCCTCTCATCATGTGTTGTATACTCCCGGTGGTTTCTGCCCATCCCCCACGGCCTCCCGGAGACAACTGCTGTGATTTCGGTTTTCTCTGTGATCTTGGTCCTTGTTAACAGACCCCTTCTTTGTACATCCATTTTAAGCCCTAGATGTACGAGGATGGGTTGGCCTCCTTGGAAATAGGCCCTGATTACATTATACAGCAAGGATTATTATAGTTTGTGTATTGTGAAAAAAAGTCTTTGCTACCCATCAATAGAAAAGTCTTTTTCTCCTGGAATAAGGGACTTTTAGATAGATAACTAACATTGGTAAAGATGGGTACAATTACAAGTACATTCACATAAGTATATTCACCTTATTGAAGACTGGTATGAATGTGTACAAAATGCTAATGTAAAATTCATGCATAAATCATTTATTTTAGCACACTGGAAAGAGAAAACACATTATAGATTGGAAAAGACTTATAATAATAGAGCTCAGCTATAACATATGTCCTTTAAACTGCTGAAAACTCCTATTACAGAAACCATTCTTGGTGATGAGATATGTGAACATTTTCTAGAAAATTTGGCACAAACTCACAAAAGGCATGTTAACGGAAGTTAACTGACTTATGATAGGGAAAAATATCACATCAAGTGATACAAAACAGTGAGTATGTGGGATAAACAAATCAATCTAGAAATCTCATGTATAACAGAACTAGTTAATCATTATAGTTGAAAATTTTTATTACATAAATGATTTTAATTATACTTTTTAATACCAACTACCTGAAATGATAGATGCCTTAATATGCTTCACTAAAGTAAGAATTTTATTACATGTATTTATTGTATACACAATAAATTTACTTTTATAAAATTGTGCATTATAATTCCTTAGGAGAAAGTAATGCATAAGGTCTGCATGAATTTGAAAATCGCTTAGTTTTATACATCCTAGGAGTTTCTTTTTAATATAATTGTTTACATATGAAAACAAAGGCCCAACAAAAACTTAAAATTCTTTATGTAATTAAATTTGACTGAAAATTATCTTAATGAAGTTTGTATTCTTCCAATAGTATCCATTATGTCTCATAGCTTCTGCAATTTTTTTCACTATAATGTCTGGTGAAGAAATCCTAATCTCTGTTTAAGTCTCTAGAAGACACAAGGTAGTAAGAATATTTTTCTCAACTAACACTTTTTTCATTTTACCTTCACTTTAATTCGTTTTTTAAAGATTTACTTTTATTGGGAAGGCAGATTTACAGAGAGAAGGTAAAACAAACAAAGATCTTCCATATACGTTTACTCCTCAAATGGCTGTAAGGGCTGGAGCTGAGCCAATCGGGAGTCAGAAGCCAGGTGCTTTTTCTAGGTTTCCTATGTGGGTACGGGGTCCCAAGGCGTTGTGCTGTCCCCCATTACTTCCCAAGCCATAAAGTGGGAGCTGGATGGAAGTGGAGTGTCCAGGACCCAAACCTGTGCCCAAGTAGGATGCTGGTGCATGCAGGCAGAGGATTAGCAATTTGAGACATCACACTGGCCCTCATTTCATTTATTTTGTTATCTATTTATCTTGTTCTCAGTCATAGTAAGATTTCTTGCTTTCCACGGAGCCTTTTTGCTTTCTTGGCTATTGATTCCTTGAAGTTCCATTTTTGCAAATTTTGAACACTTAGCAAATCTCTTCCTCTGTGTGTATCATGTCATATCTCATCACTGACAAAGCTACTAAGCTTTCTTTTGCATTGACTCCTCACTATCCACCATGTACCCCCAGCCTTGGTCCACTGGCACCGAGCAGCTGTGTGTTACTGAAGCACACCCGCCCGCATTCCGTTACCGGCAGAAATTCCCACCGGTGCTCAAAACTACCATTACGCTGAAACTAATTCTTGTTGCTTGCCTTAAGGAAATTAGTGTTTCTTTTATTACCCTGGATACAATTTATGTGCTGTGTTATTGAAAATCCCTATTGACATAGCAGGCTGTCTGATATGAGCCAATATTATGTTTTATGAACTTTAGCAATATTGCTTCCTTTGCAAAAACATTAATCCAGAACTGATGCTTCAACTAATGAGAAAATTGCTCTTAGTAAGTGCAGCATCTCTTAGGCTCCTTTCCTGAAACTTTGAGTTAAAATGTGCTGCACCTAGATTCCATTATGATTCAGAACTTTTATTTCAAAAGAAGAAATTTCTGTGGTTTTGGTGTTTGTGTCCCATAACAAATAAGGACTGTGGTCACCATGATGTTTTCTTCCCCAAGTTCAATATTTATGAATAAATATTCTGGAAAAGTTAATAACATACAAATATACACAAATTATATATATATATATATATAAATTTTCAGAAGCTAAATTGTTGAATAGTGGTTATTTTGTTACTATGTACATTTAGTTGGCTCACATGAATAGTAATTATATTTCCCCTTAGCAAACGTTTTGCTATTTATTAGAAAAAATCTCAGTATGGGAGACACTTGAAATTCTTTAAACTCTTTTGTAACATAGAAATATATTAATTTTATTAAGTATAACTTTTGTTTATTCATATTGCTGTTACGTATATGGCACAGAATAATTAATAAACAGTACAACATGAAAGCTTCAGATTCTCTGTCTTATCATGTTTTCTTGATCTTTTCAGAATTTCATGGCCCTTCATGGTGTCTCTCTCCAGCAGACCCAGGCCAGTGTCAAGCCAATGAGATCAGATTCTACTACAACGCAAACACTGGGAGATGCCGCCCATTTAAGTACAGTGGATGTGGGGGAAATGAAAATAATTTCACTTCTAAAAAAGCATGTTTTACAAATTGTAAAAAAGGTATAAAGATATTCTTCCCATTAATTTTCTAGCACTGATGATAATTATATTGAAATTTTGAATGAGTTTTATTACTGCATATGATTCCCCAAGTCTGTTAAATATTAGACATTTGTTTTTAAGGATTCTTCCAAAGTCCTTTTAAGCTTTAATACACAAAATTTTAACACTTTCATTAATTTCTCCTAAATATAAAAATTCTGCCTATTTCTAATAGGAAAAAAAGGCATGAAATCTTGTATTAATAATCATCTATAATCATCTATGTTTAGCAATATTTCCACTTTTTAAATAAAAGAGCCCAGGTTTGTAACAGAAGATAAAATCATAACAAATCAGCACACTTGTTTTTAATAATTTGTATGCTTAAGGTAATTTTTTTACAAATAAATTGTCCTACAGAGAAACATGGACAAATCAAAAGTTTATAAACCTTTCACATAAACCTATCACATATTTTGAGGTTAAGTGCTAAATGATAACTTGAGAAGATTGTAAATAAAAGTTTTATTGTTACTTCATCACATATGCAATTTTCTGTTCTCTACCTTGCAGGTTTCATCCGAAGATTATCAAAAGGGGGGTTAATTAAGACCAAAAGGAAGAGAAAGAAGCAGTCAAGAAAAACAGTTCATGAAGAAGTTTTTATTAACAAGACATAGATCCGTTTTACTGGAAAATTCTATTTACACTTTTCTTAAGAATGTTTCACTCTGATTTCTATGTTTTCATCTGCTATATTTTAATTAGTATGATTCTGAAATAATTTTTTAGGTTTATTTCACTGATATTATTTACATCAGAGTTCCTTATATAATCTGGCCATATTTCCTATTTTAGGATTATAATTAAATGGATACTGTAATTTTACTTTTTCATTGACCCCTTTCTACTTTCTGTTTAACAATAAAATTATCCTCCTGCTGACCACATCAAATCTAGATTTTCATATCTGTCCTTCTGGTGACCATCTATTTGACTATCTGTATTTATATATTTATTATGTCTGTATGTATGATGGTCTTCTTTATAGTATGTCATCGCATTAAGAGATACAGCTTTAAAGAGCAAGCAATGTTGGGTTTTCACATCTAAAATCTAGTGAATAGCCGTTTCTGATAAAAAAAATAATTCATTTGTGCTTTTGGAAAGAACTGGTAACAAAATTTATAACCTCCTTCAATCCAATTTGTCGTTTTAACAAACACAAATCAATTCTGAGCACATGCATCACTGATTTTTGTTAGCTAAGCTTTTCTCTTTGTTTAATTATAGTTGAATCACTATGTATTAAACACAGTTCATGAAAAAGAAGAAACTTTATGGTAAAGAAAGGTATTTAATGGAAGTCAAAAGGAAACTTACGTTATTTGATAAAATGCTTTAACATCTCGCGAAGTGTATGGATCTTTCATTAGGCTTTACTTACAATGTAATTAGTAATTTGCACTCAAAAAGTAAAGCAATTTCTGAAGAAAATAACATTAAATATAAGGATACAAATTTGCTCAGCATTCTCTCAGTTAGCTTTAGCAAACATTTCTCTTTAGTTGCATTGCTGTGTCCAGAGCTATGTTTTCTGTTAAGCAGGCACAGCCAGATATTCCAACAGCCTTCAGGCATTCCAGTTTCTGTAAGGCTCACATTGTCTCACATACGAACCTGAACTTGACATCCAGAAACAACAAACCACCTCACCCATACTCTAGCTTCATGCCTTCTCATAGAAATGTCACTTTGATTCTTTTTGTTTTTCACTCCTGAAAGTTTGAGCTCACATTGAATTTCTTGTTTCACTTCATATATTCTTTCTAATTAGGCACCAAATCTTGCTTGTTCATCCAGGCTCTGGGGTTTTTAGTCTCTGTCAAATCCTCAAAAATTTCATGTATTTCTCTACCACATAAAATCTTCCAAGAAGTGTGGCTAGTTGGTCCATAAGCCCAATTCCATATTGCCACAATTGAATTTTGATTATGGCTATAGTTTTGAATCTATCTACAATACTTTTTCATGACTTCTTCCATTTCATAAAAGTATTTCCTCTTCATGGATTCTGTTTTTAACCTCTATTATTTACTCATGCTGCTTTCCAATTTGAGAATCTGACTCCTTTTATGCTATCTGAAGTTAAGATCCGACTCATGTCCACTTTAAAAGCATCACTCCATTTTAACTTGGGATATTAAAAGTCAAAGCATGAAATTATGAAACATTTCCATCCTGTGGCCTAGAAATTATGTAATTAAATATGGTTTCAAAATATCCAACTTGAGGAAAGTCTTACAACTTAATTTCAAAAATTCAGTGTGTGAATACTTAATCTCTGTTGTGAAAAAAAGCTCTGATGAAATATGTTCACTTGCATGTATCCTTCGAAAGCTGTATATTTCAACAGCTGGAAAATTCCGTTAGGTCAAGTGGTACTTACATATAAATAATACTATGTCAGTTTATCTTGTTCCCCAGCAATATTCACTCAACCAATAAGATGGTATGCAATGTCGATTGGGTGTCAATGCCATTGGTGCTATGTTTCTAAGTAAGAAGATCTCTGATAATTTTGCATTTTATTCTGCATAATCAATACATCTAACTGTGAATTTTATACATTTTATTATGTAGCATATACATGTATTTACTTACTTTGTTCATTCTCTGTATTCAAAATTAAATTTTCATGCTGTAAACTACTGAAATGATTTTATTTTTATGTTGTAAGGAGTAAAATATATTAACTTGAATAATAAAGTCTCACTCTTTCAGTATTAAATACTCAAGATTTAATACTTTTAAGTTATCACAAAGATAAAAAGTATAACAACAAAAAATCATTCTGTGTTTATACCACTACACATTACAGAAATATTCCCATGAATGTCCTTATATATAATTGTATAGATATGGGCAGATGCATTTTAAATGTAATTATGCATTATATGAAAACTCCCAACCTTGACTATTATAGTTAGCCTGTCATCTACACCTCAAAGTAGAAAGAAAATAATACAAAACTATCCAGTTTTCAGCAACTATGTTTACCTTTATAAGCTATACTTGCTCTTCTCTAGAGTTTATGAAATTCACATTTAAATCTAGTTTATTGATTCTTTCTCAGAGACTTCCTTAACTTAATTGTTTTTCCTGTTTTCAAATATACAGAATGGGACCCCTTTCCCTTGTGAGTTTCACAGACCCAGTCTGAACTACTACAAATATATAGCTGCTATTTTGATGATGGCTATTTTTACTTACTTTCTGTAATTTCTTATCCATTTGATTTTGTTTGGCAGGCAAAAACAAAAAAATTTACTCCCCAAATGTCTTTTCTAACCTATACTGGGCCAACGGCCAAGCCAAAGCTAGGAATCAGAAACTTAACCCAAGTTTCTCATATGGCTGACAAGCACCCAACTACATGTGCCATCAGCATTGTTTTCCACGATACACATTAGGAGGAAGCTTAGGTTAAAAGTTATTTAGCTAGTATATGAGTCTAGGAATGGAATTTAGGCATCCCAAAGAGCAACCAACACTGTACTGAATGCCAGCCCTAACTCAGAGCACTCCTAAAAAGAAAATTTAGATAGTTATAGTTTGTGGCAATTGATTCTGAAGATGGAAAAGATGTTTTAACCCTCTAACAAAGTAAATAAAATATAGTATTAGCATAATAAATATGATTTCCTCATCAAATTGCTCAGACATGATGAAATTTCTAGCCATATCTGAATTTAAACAAGGATATATTTGAATCACAAATGAAAAAAGATCCAGTTTAATTCAGCATGAAGTCAGTGCAGCATATTTGGCCTTCAAAACTCAATGCCAACTTTTGATTTAGCCACTCATAATTATTTTGCCTTTGTGTTCAAATCTCATAGAATTATTAGACTACCAGAATTTAAGATCCTTTTTCTCTAGGCATATTTTTAGAGAAAAATTTGGCTCCTCTTGTCTCTCAGAATTTAGCTAAAGGCATGCCCACTGACCTTAATGTCTTAGAGCCACCCTTAAACTGAATATCATATTGAGAGAATTATAGCCTTTTGACTGGCAAGGCTTGATGCACACGTTTTCTTGTTGATAAGAGCAGAACCTAACACTTGTAATTCCGCCGGAAGAGGAGAGACAAGATAGAAGTAAGTGGGGTAATTACTTCAGGCACAGAATTTAAAAGGACTCTTAAAAACTCAGTAACCAACATAATTAGTACAATTTTATCAAGAAATAACAGCAAATTCTAAGATAAAGTATCAAAATTTGTAAAAAAAAAAAAAAGGCATTATAGAATGTATCCTTGTTGTATTAAAACAATAACAGAATTACAGACTGTGTTCTTCCTAATAGATTATAATTTAACAAAATTCAACACTTGCTTCATGATAATCTGATATAAAAATAAAATATCAGGATATCTACAATTTTGCTAGTTCTTTATTATTTTAGTAACAAATTATTAAATTAAAAAGATATTTGGCACATTTGTTCACACCCTTTTGAAAAGTCAATATTAATATATAATACATATAACATTATATGTATAATATTAATAATATGTACTGTTAATATATTAATATTATATAAAATAGCATATACATAACTATTTTTCTTGAAAGCAGGGATGCTAACCTCACAGATGTAGGAGTCACTGCAAAGATCATAAATGAGGGAAAAGGGTATATTATACACAGGGTACAATTCAGAGAGGACAATATATTTATTGTTGTGTTTCAAAGAAAGTGGCATCTACATTCAGAAAGAAAAGATGTGCTACTATCATTTTTTCCCATTCTTTTTTTCTTGGAAGACAGATCAACAGAGAGATAGAAACAGAGATAACACCCCCTGTCTCCTTTGTGCCACCTGCCTTTCAAATAAACAAACACATCTTTAAGAAGAAACAATTGCCAACTCCACAGACACATGAATCGGTTCAGTTTACACAGTTCTGACTGAGAAATTACATTTTTTGAATGATCAGTTCCAAAAACTGCCTACATCAGCTGCAGAACAGAGCATAGATTTCAGTGGGATCTTTATACAAGTAGCATAAAGATCCAGAAGCATTTCCTGGAGAATTATAATGGATAATTCTATACTTTCATGGCTTTACCAATCTGATGCTTAAGACAAAATATAATCAAAGCCATGGCTACCAAGAAGGAGAAGCAACCCAAAATTTCCACATGCAGGTTAACACAGGAAACTAAAACATTTCTATGCACTGGATTGAAAACAAAAGCATCTAAAATGTATGAATTAGAGCCACAATTTGAAAATCCTTAGTGTAACTAACAGCAAATACCACAAAAACTATTTTTTAAACTTTCGGGGGAAAATTTTATACAAAAATTCAAATATATTATTGAGGAACATTAAAAATATATAAGGCTGGCATTATGATACATCAGATTAAGCTCCACTTGTGACCTTGGCATCCCATCTGAAAGGCCCAGGTCAAGACTGGCTCCTTTGCTTTCCATCTAGCTTCCTGTTAACAGGTCCGAAAAAGCAGCAGAGAATTGAACTTCTGGGGTCCTGCCACCCATGGGGAAAAGCTAGATGGAGCTCTTGATTCTTGGTATTAGCAAGGCTCAAACCTCTCCCCAGCACCTTTTCTTCCATCTCTCTCTGTTGCTCTGCTTTTCAAAAAATCATTTTTAAAAAGATAAATATATTTAAATTTATTGTAGCATTTAATATTAGTATTTACAGAGAAATAAGCTAATAAAGGCTTATGAAGAAACAAATATAGTATATATAAAGTTCAAGAAATGATTGCTTTCAAATTCGAGTAATAGAAAGGAAAGTCCTAAACTATCAAAAGAAAAGTCACAGAGAAATAAACCAGTACATAAAAGATGAGAAAATTAGACAATCAATGAAGCAGCCCTGCATGGAGTTTCTGGCTCTAGGGTTTCTACCTGGCCAAACCTAGGTTTCATAGGTATTTTAGAATAAATCAGTGAATGGTCGATAACTATCTCACTCACTTTTCCTTATAAACAAAGTACTGTACATATCAGAGACAAGAATACAAGAAAGCCATAAGAGGAGCTGGCATTGTGACATAAGCAGGAAGTTACAGCCTGCTATGCTGGCATCCCATATGCTCCAGTTACTCCTCTTCTGACCTAGCTTCCTGTTAATGGCCTGGGGAAAGTAGCAAAGAGTGCCCAAGGTATTTAAGCTTCTGCATCCGCTTCCGAGACTTACAAGAACCTTCCGAAGACTGGCTTTAGCATGGCTCAACACCGGCCAATGTGGCCATCTGGATAGTGAACCAGCAAATAGAAGATTGTCTTTTTCTCTCTGTTCTTCATTCCTTCTCACTCTCTCCACTTCTCTGCTACTCCCTGTCTCTCTGTCACTTTTTATAGATATATATTTATATATGTTATATATATTATTTAAAATCTATATTTTATAATATATAAATTACATATAACTTATACATTACATTATTGAAATTATATTATAAATTATATATGGTATAAATTATATATATGATTTATTATATATAGAGACATTAAAAAGGAAAACCACAAGATAATTGAATGTGGAAAAGCAAAGGATAAAGAATAGCTACTATGTTGTTAGAAGTATTTCAGTACTTTGATCTCTCAATTAAATATATGGAGCAGTACTCTTTGGGAATTGAAGTTTAATTATTTTATTTTTCCATCTGATTTTATAAGGAAATGTTTTGGATTTTAAACTAAAATTTTATTAAAATAAAATTATTTTATTTATTAAAGATAAATGTATCTTTGGTCCTCTGATCATGCAAATAACTAAAATTCAACTATATACAAAATGATATGATATCCAACATTTTTAATATTTCATTAGCTATCCCAAATAGGAGGAAAATATGTAATATATTTCTTTTGGGTCTTGCTTATTTCATTTAGCATTAATGAGCACCAGTTATATCCATCTTTTTGCAAATGCCAGGATTTCTTTTGGTTTTATGGCTAAATAATGTCCCTTTGTATACATATCTCATATTTTCTTTATCCATTCATCTGTTGTTTGACATCTAGGTTGATTCTACAGTTTAGCTATTGTAGATTAAACTGCTCTAAATATGGGAGTGCAGATAACTTATATAATGAATGCATTTCCTTTCATTGTATTCCCAAGAGTGAGACAGCTGGATCATATGATAGCTCTTTTAGCTTTTTGAAGATTGTATATCATCTTCCATAATAATTGTGCCAGGTTACATTCCCAAAGACAGTATATTAGGGAACCTTTTCATTTATATCTTCACAGGATTTGTTGCTTTTTGATTTTTCAATAACAGCTATTCTAACAAGGGTGAAGTGACACCTCATTATTCGCATTTCCCTGATGGCTAGCGATCCTGACAATGCCTTCATGTGTCTCTTGGTCATTTGTACTTTCTTCTTTGAAAATTACTTGTTCATATCTTTGCCCAGTTACTAATTGAATTTAATTTTGTTATTGAATTTCTTAAGATCCTTACTACTCTGGATATGAATTCATCATTGCAAGCATGCTTTGCAAATATTTTACCCAAGGTATTGGCTACCTCTTCACTTTAATTGTCTCTTTTTTGGACAGAAGATCTATACTTGATGAAATTCCATTTTCTATTTTTACTGTTATTTCCTTTATGTTTTCAGGACCTTATCCAAGAAGTCGTTGAAGTTTCTGGATAAAACATTCAGAGACATGTTGAATAACAGTAGAACTAGTGAGTGTCTTGTCTGTAT